TGGAAAACCCCCTTTTTTTAATGAATAAAACCCCACAACTTGGAAATGTAAAATCTAAAATTTATAATAAACGAAGAGGAGCTCACGTCAATAGATATAAACAATTCACCAACGTTTTATGCAAATTGGTTAAAGCATTTTTTAGTTAATGTCCGACATGTTGACGACGGACAACGGTATACCACAATACATCCCGTAAACGGTCGTATAAAAACTGTTTAAAAGGTTCTATGTATGTATATTGAATAGATTGAATGATTGGTTGTTGGTTGCTTAAGGTCCAGTGGCAAATCATTAAATAGAAATAGTCTAAAAATGTGTTATATATGTCAAGAACATATGGATGAGACAGCAATCCAACAAGCCAACACATTTTTATGTAAACAATTCAGATCCTAAACTTTACTCCTATTTGGTTACTGATATAATAATAAGAGTAGATTCCTGTAAAAAATCTTTTAAGAGTTCAAATCTTGTTTTTCCATAAAATATTTATAATACATTTGAGTTTTCCAAAACAGGACTAACATACTGGTACATACCTTTGTATTAGCTGTATTAGACCACCAAGTCTTATTCCCACACCATGAAAACATGTCTCAGAAAGAACCTGAAATGAAATTATAATCAACACATTATACATTTTGTAAATCAATTTGTGTGTTACCGATAACCTAAAATTTACTAAATATTGTTCTGATTTCTTATTGCAGGTAGACAATTGTATAAAATCATTTTTTTTTCAAATCAATATAAACGATAGAAAAGTAAAAAAAACGTCAGATTTAAATTTAACTGCCAAAAAAATATCTGAATATTTTACAAAGTTATCTCCCATTGAATGCAAAATCGTGTTTTAAATTGTTCTGGTCTTTTCTTGAAGTTTAATGACTATTTTTAGGATTTACTATTGATATTTTAATAGAAAATCATGTTCATGTATCTTGTATCTTTAAATACTAAACTGGTAAATTAATTCATCAATGGTGTTTAAATGCAATATTTCAGAAGGGTCTGTTATCTTAAAAGATCTGGCTAAAATAAACTTGCCTTTTCTATTTTCATGGTAAAGAGTCAGACTTGGTTGAAGATTTAATTGACCATCTTCCTAAGAGCTGCTATCTTGGCTGACAAGGTGGTTCTTCTCAATATCTTATTGTCAATCTATGTTGTGTCCATTTGTTTTTAGAAAATAAAGTAACATACATAAAAAATATCAGATGCACTTTCAATTAATAAACTTTTTGAAAAATTCCACGTAATTATTTTAAGTGACACATAATTTTTCCCACACTAAATTTCTATTATCTAGAAAACATCTGATATGTAAAAAAGTGCATAAATGTGAGTATCCAAGTAAATAAAAATCTTACATTGAGGGAATTTCAAGTATTTGAAGTTAAACACAGTATAATAAATTACCTCCCTTTGACCTAAATTTCACCCTGTTAGAACTCCACATTTTTGTTATATATATAACAAAAAAAAATAAATAGTATACCGGTAATCAAAAAAAAAAAAAAAATTAAATTACAAAATTTCAACACATTTCAATAACATATTTAGTGTGGATGGAGTAATGGTGGCTGAATGGTCAAAGTAGTTCAACTACTGTATCACTAGCCTGTCAACACTCTGAACCCTCACATTGTAGGTGTGTTTAACGTCAATCTTAAGGCGAAGTGTACGTAATTGCACGCCTCTAGCGGAATTTAGGATAAAAAACGTGCGTCGTTAGTTACGCGGGTTATCTCCCCTACTCCAAGAAAGGAAAAATGGGCACATGAAAGAGAAATAACTTCGTGCGGTCTATCATGAATTCAAACAAGTATTCATGTGCTATCTCAAAATTTCAAAGAAATTATTAGAATGACTCTAATCAGAAATCTGAGTATCCTATTGTGAGTTAGTATGACTATATTACCACTGTTTTTGTTTTAGTTAAACACGCAGGAGCAGGTACACAAAACGACTCGTGTTTATTTCAACAGAAGGTAAAAACGCCTAAACAACAAAATTATAACCAAATAAAAAATAAACCAGTGACAATTCTGCTTCTATTCGTTTCAAATTCATTAAAATCAAACCTGAATTGACCCCCACAATATTTTTTTGAAAAACCATAGTTTTTATTGAATTTCACAGTGTACTGTAGCGTAAAATTGTAGGTAACAAATAATTATATTGCATGTGAATTTGTGTTTTGAACAAGAAAGACGTTGGCATGTCCGTTTTTATGCAATTGAAAATTTTTATGATGTTTTATATTTTATTATTTAGGTAAAAAGTATAAAAGATACGGGGGTAATCGACCACTAGTACAACATTTATAAGCCGAAGAAAAAGCCAACAGCAAAAAAAAAAAAACCCATCAGATTCCGTCCACAAAACATTACACTCTCAGAAACTAAGAATTGAGCACTATTACATTTATCTCAGAATAAGTAAAATCTATGTCATCCAAATCTCAGTTTTCAAGGTGCAAAAAATAAACAGGTGTCTTCTCTTCCGTCCGCAATTTTTGGGGAAAGTAAAATCTAAATTTAGAACCATGGTTGAAACTGAAACTACACATGTATGATAAAAATAGAACGTGTTATTTTTTTCTTTATCAAATTCAGATTTCAAAGGGATAGCGAAACTTGTTTTCTTTTTTGTTGTGCTTTTGTGTATCATTCAGCAGTAGTATGAGGTAGGGGAAGAATGGGGAGGGGTGAAGAAAATTAGTTCTACAATGTCGGGGCTTTTTATAACCGACTATACGGTATGGATTTTCTCATTGTTGAAGGCCGTATATATGATTGCCTTATACAATTGCTTACATCCACATCCTTTAAGGTAGCTGGGGGTGTCTAAATGTTGGACGATAGATTTTTCTCAAACTTCTGTAAGACTTCTGTGTCAATGTTATATAAATTTCAATATAAAAACTGGGGATCACGGACCTTGTTTTTTCGTAATAACACATTGAAATTAACGAAATTTGGGTTATTTTATATTGTTAATATAGGGGAAACTTAAATTTTCCTTATTGCAGAAACATTAAACGATGGAATTGGCTAAAAGTCGATGAGAGAATTGCTTTTCATTAATAACTCCGAAATATCAAATAAAAATAGGGTGTCACATGCCTTATTTTCTTGAAAAAAATCCCCAAATATTTTAAATATACTTTACGACACTTAATTTCTTGATAGTTCAATCTTTAAATTTCAAGTTTTAGGTATTTTGTTGTATATTGAATGATACTTGGTAAAATATTTTTAAAACAAAAAAGTTTTTGCAACATGATCAGAACGGACGCTCAGAAAAAGGAACCCGATCTACCTTAAACGTGGCAGATAGTTGTCTCATTTGCAATCATACCACATCTCCTTATGTTCATATTATATTAACAAAACTGCAATTCAAATTTGCACTATATACAGGAACAATTTGTATGGCACTATACTAGGTAAACTCGTATAGCATCGCTCTTGGTACATTCTTATAGCATTACACCAGTACATTTATAGCATATCACTATGCACAAAGCTTTAGCATTACACTATACACAATGCTATAGCATTAAACACGATATACACAATGCTAAGGCTAACACTGGGAATGATCTGTGCTACGTGAAGTTAAAACTCCAATCTGTTTTACCTTGCTAAAATTCATATGCGGGTTCTTCTTTTGACCTTATTACAGCCATAAAAATTCTCAAGATAATATGCAGATGCAGTTTTCTTATTTTTTGGAGTCTTGCATGTGGATATTTAACAAATAATGGTACAAAAAATTATTTCCTTTTTTACTTAAAATCTCCAGCAAACATTATATCATGCTTTGTCGTGTAGTTAAAGAAAAGGGAAAGCGATCGAGACAGGAAATTTTTTAAATAAAATTGCAGAGTTGTGTCACGTGCACGCGTGTGAACCTGACAAATAAAATGGGCTTTGTGCGCAATACCTCGAATAGCGCCGGAAATGGTGAGGATGAAAAGATGCAGCAAATTATATTCACTTTTTTAAAATACAAACATGCAGAAATAAGATTTAAAAAAAGACGTGTATACGCGATCCCAATATTATAACCGATTATTTAAATACGTATAGAATCATTCTGTCAACGCTGTGTTAACTGGGACAATTTCAAACTTGATATTTGATTCATAATTATTAAAACAATACACTATAAAAAAAAAAGAAGATGTGGTATGATTGCTAATGAGACAACTCTCCACAAGAGTCCAAATGACACAGAAATTAACAACTATAGGTAACCGTACGGCCTTCAACAATGATCAACGCCCATAGTCAGCTATAAATACATGCATTTCAAAAAAGATGTGGAATCCTGTCTAATTAAAAAAAGATGGAGTTAAAGTCTATACAGTAACTTTCTTTCACTTGCAGTATATTTATTTGCCAATTTGTTTTTTTTTTTTGGCAGCAGAATTATCCTTAAAAACAGTTAGTTTATTTCCTTATCAATTGATTACGCTTGAGCATTTGCAATAATTAGGAAAATGGGTTATACACACTCACGATTTTGTTACAACACTGTACGGTATAATAGCGTTATAGAGTAGAAATTGTGATGACGTTACAGTAGACATCAATAACGTCGCCGAATGTTTTTATTCTTTCCGCTAAAAATCAAACTTTAACAGGATATAGCTTGAAAACTAGCACGGTTGCTAAGGACTTTCTTTGCACCAATGGGTTCGTCGTTCATCTTTGAATCGCATATCGATTTTTAAAAAAATTCTGTGGACCAACGAATTAGAAAATCTTAATAAAGTAAAAATATCTGCCGATTTTTATGATTTTCCCTATATATCCTTTGTATTTTTGGCGTATCATGCTGTTAATTTCAACAGCTTGTATTTGAAAAACGAAAACGGTTACCCCTTTTTTTTATTTTATTGTCTGGTGTATTTTTACAAGCAGAATCCACATGTAAAATTTAAAAAAATTCTGTGGAGTAGTTAATTACGTACACTTCGCCTTAATTGACTAGAGTTGCCAGTTTCTCTGTTGAAGGGGATGTTTTCACCAGGCTGTCTCCACAAATAAAAACTGGCAGCCAAGATATAGCAAATCATGCTGAAAGTGGTGTTAAATACCAAAAATCAATCAATCTACTTTCATCAAGATATTCTTCAACTATGCATCTGGTAAAATATTCTTAAAATAATATACCCTTTGTTATAAACTCAGCTAAAAATGACACAAAGGTGAAAAAATATATTACAATTTGCAAAAATAAAAAACATTTCAATAATTGAACATTTTTTTCTTTTTTTTTAGATTCTCCATTCTTAAACTACTGGAAGTGTTTTGCCTAGACATGAGTATGAACAGAAAATAGAATTTCAAAGTAATTTTTGAAATTTCAAAGACCTATTAACCTACAACTTCCAATCTTGTTGAAAATGGAGAACCTGTACATAATTTTTTTTTTTCTTTTTGTAAAAATTATAAACATTTTCTCAAACATACACAAAAATAGTCTGAATTACATTCTTGACTGTTACAGTAAAATCACATAGCCCTTTTATGCAGCCACAGTTACCTGAAAAAGAAATATACAGAATTAAACGTAATTGTCAAAATCTGAAAATTGAAACAATATCAAATGCAAAATAATAAGTAACTGGTCATTATAATCATGATTCATAAAACATTTCTCTTACTTTGTTTAAAAGTGATTTGCTGATATATTTTTTGAACTACCAGTCTTTATTAGCAGAAAAGGATAAAAAGAAGTCAATGGTAGATGTCCAACATATTTTTTTTTACATATTGTTTTTTTTGTATTGGTTCTTACCATAAAAGTCAGCTCCAATGCCCACTCCCAGCTTCAATCTTTACAGACAAGCTGTGATGCTAACCTGAAAAATAAAATGATTAGTCATTCAAGATTGTTTAAAAGGATCATTTTTGATATACTGTATGTATATTCCATATTTTGAATGACTGATTCATTTGATTGTTGGTTGCTAAATGTCCAGTGGCAAATAATATAAAAGTCTATAAATATGTAATAGAAGTTGAGAACAGCAAACCAGCATCCCAAAAAACTTTTACATAATCAAATCAGATAATTAAATTTACTCCTTTAAAGGCAATTAAAGAAAGCAAAGACTTCTTACCAAACTCCTACAAACCTTCACGCTTAGAGCACATGCTATTTCCAAATACATTTTATAATACTTTTTCTTTTTTCAAAACAGGACTAACATACTGGTACATACCTTTGTATTAGCTGTATTAGACCACCAAGTCTTATTCCCACACCATGAAAACATATCACAGAAGAACCTAAAAAGAATTAAAAAAAGACACATTATATATTTTACAAATCCATTTCTCTATAAATATAAAGTCACTATATAATGTTCTGATTTCTTACAAAATGTACACAATAGTATCAACACAAGTTTGTAAGATAAACTGTTGACAGAGATGTCTCGCCTAGCAGCGGAAAATGAAAAACATCTGATGATTAGCAACATTGCTAATTAATTCGATAATTTGTTAGTAATGCAAATAAATACAAAATGTCATTGACCTATAGCAAGGAGTAACTATTAACCTGACTAAACAGAAAACTTGACATTATAAAAACTAGAGGCTCTCAAGAGCCTGTGTCGCTCACCTGTATTTACTGATGCTTTGGAAATCATGTAAAATAAGGTTAAAATCATAATTAATAGTATTAGATATTAGATATTATAATGATATCTAAGATAATAACAAAAAACTGCAAAATTTTTGTAAAATTACTTACTCAGGGGCAGCAACCCACGCTCTAAATGCTTTAGTTTCAGAGATATAAACCAACAAGAGTGCACACGCTGAAATGTCTCGCCTTCTTTACTAATCATTGATATTATGTTGATAGTCCTAAATATAAAGCTTTATTACAACTGTCACATAAACTTAACATTAACCAAGTAAACTAAATATTGACCAATGAACCATGAAAATGAGGTCAAGGTCAGATGAACCATGCTAGGCAGGCATGTACAGCTAACAATTCTTCCATACAACAAATATAGTTGACCTATTGCTTATAGTTTAAGAAAAACAGACGAAAACACAAAAACTTAACACTGAGCAATGAACCTTGAAAATGAGGTCAAGGTCAAATAAAACCTGCGTGACTGACATATAGATCATAAAATATTTCCATACACCAAATATAGTTGAACTATTGCATATAGTATTAGAAAAAAAGACCAAAACTCAAAAACCTAACTTTGACCACTGAACTATGAAAATGAGGTCAAGGTAAGATGACACCTGCCAGCTAGACATGTACACCTTACAATCATTCCATACACCAAATATAGCTGACCTATTGCATGCAGTATTAGAAAAAAAGACCAAAACTCAAAAACTTAACTTTGACCACTGAACCATGAAAATGAGGTCAAGGTCAGATGACACCTGCCAGCTAGACATGTACACCTTACAACCATTCAATACACCAAATATAGTAGACCTATTGCATACAGTATAAGAAAAACAGACCAAAACACAAAAACTTAACTATAACCACTGAACCATGAAAATGAGGTCAAGGTCAGATGACACCTGCCAGTTGGACATGTACACCTTACAGTCCTTCCATACACCGAATATACTAGACCTATTGCTTATAGTATCTGAGATATGGACTTGACCACGAAAACTTAACCTTGTTCACTGATCCATGAAATGAGGTCGAGGTCAAGTGAAAACTGTCTGACGGGCATGAGGACCTTGCAAGGTACGCACATACCAAATATAGTTATCCTATTACTTATAATAAGAGAGAATTTAACATTACAAAAAATCTGAACTTTTTTTTCAAGTAGTCACTGAACCATGAAAATGAGGTCAAGGACATTGGACATGTGACTGACGGAAACTTCGTAACATGAGGCATCCATATACAAAGTATGAAGCATCCAGGTCTTCCATCTTCTAAAATATAAAGCTTTTAAGAAGTTAGCTAACGCCGCCGCCGCCGCCGCCGCCGGATCGCTATCCCTATGTCGAGCTTTCTGCGACAAAAGTCGCAGGCTCGACAAAAACTGCATTCTACCCCAATGTTCTATTTTTAACCAAGTTGGCCATGATGGTTGGAAGGCGGGGTCATCGGACAAATTTTTTAAACTAGATACCCTAATAATGATTATGGCCAAGTATGGTTAAATTTGTCTCAGTAGTTTCAGAGAAGAAGATTTTTGTAAAAGATTACAAAAATTTATGAAAAATTGTTAAAAAATTGACTATTAAGGGCAATAACTCCTAAAGGGGTCGACTGACAATTTTAGTCATGACAACTTATTTGTAGATCTTACTTTGCTGAACATTATTGCTGTTTACAGTTTATCTCTATCTATAATAATATTCAAGATAACCAAAAACTGCAAAATTTCCTTAAAATTACCAATTCAGGGGCAGCAACCCAACAACAGGTTGTCAGATTTGTCTGAAAATTTCAGGGCAGATAGATCTTGACCTGATAATCAGTTTTACCCGTGTCAGATTTACTCTAAATGCTTTGGTTTCAGAGATATAAGCCAAAATCTACATTTTACCCCCTATGTTCTATTTTTAGCCATGGCGGCCATCTTGGTTAGTTGGCCGGGTCATCGGACACATTTTTTAGACTAGATACCCTAATGATGATTATGGCCAAGTATGGTTAAATTTGGCCCAGTGGTTTCAGAGGAGAAGATTTTTGTAAAAAGCTAACGACGACGGAAGACGACGACGGACACCAAGTGATGAGAAAAGCTCACTTGGCCCTTCGGGCCAGGTGAGCTAATAAAACAAGTCAAAAGGTTTTTGTTTGTAATTTAACTGCACAAAAGTGATGTGCAAATTTAACAGTTATATCCCATTGAATGAACAAATCTTGCTGTTAATTGTACTTGTCTCCCCTTGAATTTAAGTTTTAAATATTTTGTTCGAAAATCTTGTTCAAGAAAATGGTAACTTAAATTATAAAACTTATTAAAATTAATACATCAATGGTGTTTTGCATGCAGAAGATCAGAAGGGTGCTGGCGTGTTGTCTTAATATGCACTTCTTGTCGAATATTTCTAGAAAATGTATACAAATATTTGGCTTAAATAAACTTGCCGTCTTAATTTCTTGGTAAAGCCTCAGACTTGGTTGAAGATTTATTTGACCATCTTCCTTGGAGCTGCTATCCTGGCTGCTTTCAAAGGTTTTCCATCAAAGTTTTTATGCTAATCAGTCCACTGAATCCATTTCATCCAAGTAATGAAATGTCCTTTCCATTGTACATTATAAAATGTACAATAGTCACCAGAATGTTCCAAGGCATCTCACATTATTTTTCCAATCATGGAAACTGAAGAAATTCTCAATTTAAAATACAAATAATTTATTAAATTCATTCAAAAAGTACTGTAAAAATACCAGACATGCTTTTAAACATGTAACTTGTATTTTGATAATTTACGAAATGTATTCTGTACCCCACAATTTCTTCCACTCATTAAAAGTATATTTTAGAACTATGTTTACATTTTTTTTTATTTACAGAGCTCTATAGATAATAGCTTTTATATAAGTTACCAGACATCTGATTTGAAAATACAAATGTAAGAAAAAAAGTACAGTGTAGTAATAGTATAATAAACACATATAAATCAACATTTTTAAAATATTTTGAAGCATAGTTTAATCAAAAATATCTCAATTTCAAGGTTTACTACTCATGTACATAGTAGTCATGTATAGTCCCAAAATTTGTAAAAGCCTCTATAGATTTGCAAACTCTCTGTGAATTCCAAAAGATATGGGTTAAAAACTATTTATTTTACCTTTGATGAAAAATTACTTAGTTCCCAAGTCAGGAAAAAAAACTATCAAACAATTCCATAGTACCAAGTGGACAACCTAAATATTTGTACAATCATTGTGTGAAGTTAAAAAGATTGAGATTGAAAACTGCAGGAGTTGATTACACAAAATCAGTACCATCTTTGAAAATTTTGGAAAACAATCATCAAGATCAGAATTAAGGGAAAAATGGGGGGAAATTCCTCAAACAATTTCATATAAGCAGGTACACAACTTAAAAATGTACGCAATTATTCTGTGAAGTTTCAGTGGTACAAGAAAAAGAAGCTGAAATGAAAAAATACAAATATGATGCAAAATAATATTACATGTATCAAGTATGAAATCTTTAGATTTAATAAAAAAATTTAGAAAGAAAAAATTAAGAACTCAAAGAAATGATATAAATACTGATTCTTTATAATAAAAATTAATTTCAATACTTTATATTTTAAATTAATTTCAAAACTCAAATGGCACGTAATACTTCAATAAAATAGATTTTTAACTTTTTACTTTAGTTTCATACTTGAAAGAAAAATAGTAGCAAAATTTACAATTGAAAAAGTAAAATTTTTTGTTCCCAGATTATTTATAATAGCATTTTTGATTGGTTATATCAAAATTTGTTTTATGTAAGATTACTTCCAATGACTTTTGTCAGAAAAAAGGAAAATCACTGATATCTTGACAATAATGGACTGAGGCAAGGTTACTGCACTCTCCGGAATCATTGGTTCCTTAAATGGATAAGAACCAGAAGCAGCCAATAAACAGACTTACAGGAATCAGCTCTTTTTTGCTACCGGGAAAAGAAAACAGATTACCAGTTAAATCTAAAATAGTCTGGTTATTATCTTTAACTTTTTTAGTGATTAAATCCCCAAAGTCTGAAACAGGGTCTAATATAAATCTAAAACTGCTTGGTTAACAGAACTGATTGTAAGCTATCGCTCAGGCAAAAATAACCACGTATATAATGCCTACCCATGTTAAAACTACAATAAAGGAGGGGCCTGATGGGTTATTTTCGTTCTGAGTGATTGGCGCATTTTCGCTATCGTGATACGTTTTTCTACAGATTTATTTTTTTTTTTATATTTTCGTGATCCGTGATTATGGAAATTTATTTTCTGTGAATCGTGATTGACATAAAAATCAACTCGTGAATCGTGATGAGACCCCCCCCCCCCATCTTAGGCCCCTCAAAAAGTATAGCTTGCAACAATTATTTCTTAATTATTATGGAATAATGGAAAACTCGTTTGAACTAATGAGGCTAAAGTTGGATCCCTGTTAAAGAGTCAAGCTCTTAGATTACTCTATGTCTGGCCATGAGTTTCAAAAAGGATCCAACGAAGAATAGCTGCAGTCAGTTACTGATAATTGGGTTTTACTTATTTTATTTTTTTTAAGTATTTTATGATGGCAAGTGCTTTACCTATATTGTAATTA